AGAGAATTATTTTGTAGAGATACTGCTTGCAAACCAATGATGTAAGATGATGTCATGGGGTAGGACTGGATAAGTCTGACTTCTTCCTACTCCATTCAAGCATGTACTAGGTATAAGCAAATTGATATTGGATTAGCATTTGTTGGATATGTGTAAAATTATGTGTGTTGACATATCAACTGTCTTTACATGCTTGAAAGAATAAATAAATCAAATCAAATCAAATAATAAGAACTAATCCTCATGTATACGTCCCTCCTCTTCTACTGTCTCCCAGTCATTGTCTATTTTAAATTCTCACTATCCAGGAATGGCTTTTGCAGTTTTCTTTCACTCCAGTCCTCTTTCATTCCTTCAGACCCCCCAGTGGCAGAGTCAATGCGGTGATTCAAACAGGTTCCACTGACAATTTATAGGATTAAGGTCTGTTTGGCCATTTCTGGTTCACTCAGCAGGAGATGGTACAAACTTTATTAGCCTGTTTACTTTTGAAGTTTTTAAAAAGGCTGCAAGAAATTCCTCTATGTGATCAAAAGAGGAAGCAAGCAAGACAATTAGAGAAATATGTTTTCAATACAATTCTGCTGGAGGTTTATGGATGATGATGTGGTATAAATGGGATATGAGTTAATGTAGATATTATATCCTACAGTGTAGAGTTGCAGTGGGAACATTACAGATTTAGTTCTCTGCTGAGGGAAACTTAGCAAATGTAGTAGAATATTCAGAGGTTAAAGATATTACCCCAAAGTAAAGATCCTCATTGCTCATTTGAGAAAAATTTTCCACATGCACAGGAGTTTAAAAAAAATGCAAATGAAATGGAATGAACTCGGCATTGCATCAGTCAGGTTTACATGACTCCTGACTATCTGCATCGATTATACGCACCTCTTGCCTGGAAGGGACTGACTCTGGTTTGGACCAATAAAACTGACATTCTCCATAATTATCTATGTAAATTAATAATGCATGAAACAGCACATTATATTAAATTAATTCAATGGATGTGTAAATTTCATATCACTTCACGCTGTCACACCCTTGGCTGCTCTAAATGTAAGAAGGTTCAAGAAGAAAGCCTTAAGTGTCAAGTAGGCCTCATTTTTAGATCAAAACCTTTTCTAGGGATAGGGATGGAAAAATAACAGAGCCATCGCCAGGATTTTAGAAATGCTGAGGTCATGAGTCTCAACTACAGGAGTGTTTGAATAAATGCCAAAATCTAAACACTCAAACGTTTTACATTTTGATATGAATTGAGGAGGGAAATCAATACTTGGCATGATGCAATAAAGGCAATACGATTTCATTGTTTGGGTTACTTTAAACTTCTTGTAGTTCATTTTTGTCCTCTGGTGGCAGCCAGATATATTCTTTGTGATAATACAGTAACATCAAATGTTAGAGGCAGTTTTATCTGTCCAGTAAGAAAAACCAAAAAAGCTTCACAATCTGTGCATCATCAGCTCAGATAGTTTGGTTGCCAGATTTGCCCAGGGTTGCAGGAATTGAGAAAAAATGATGAAGGGAATAATACTCAAAAGACAAAATCTAAAACAGAAAAGGGTGTATCTTCTTGTGTCCTTAGCCCTTTGGCATAAACTTGAATAAATTCTGAGAAGCCAACTCAAACAATGAAATCAGCACAAACATTTGGCCACTTTAAAAACAGCAGGAACACTTCATATGTTGTTTCAGGCATCTGGTTGCTGAACTGCCGCCAGATATTTGTCTTTATCATTGTTTAGCAACTGTGCCCACAGTTTAAGAGAGATTCAATAATAATAATTTTGGGCCAAAAGTGAAAAAAAAAAAAAACTTGCCATACTTATGTATTTGATTTTGTCCACCAGAAGGCCCCTAAGCAAGGCCCGGGAGTCCGGTTGTTTTCTCAATATTCTTTAGGTTTGTTCTCAGTGTTTTTTCTCATACTTTAAGTTTCATGTGAACAACCAGAACCGTCTCAAACACCTAATGGGACCAATGATAGCAAGTGCTATCATCGGCTGGAGTTATTTTACTTCAGGTCTACCAAATCGTTTTCCTTTCATCATCACTACCCAAGACATTAGCTCGGTTCACCGAGCCAGTGATGTCTCTCCAGCCGACCAGTATCTGTGCACCTCAAGATAGAAACAGATGGCTGAGAGCTTCCTGCTGCTCAGTGTCTCCTGTATCTGCGTCAATGCCTGATAATCATGACTTTACAGACAGGCTTCACTTGATGTTTTATCTCAAACGGGGGAGTGCCAAAACGGATGCTCACCAATATAGGATCTATGTTCCCTAACAAGGGACTGTGTTTGGGTAATTTGGGATCTGGACACTCACTGGTGATCAGAGTATCAAAAGTGAGTGTGTCAACACTATGAAATGTGTTTATCCACTGCAGTTTATAGTTTTTTTCCTCTATGATTTTGATGCACAGTACCCCCATCTTTGAAACATATAACCTATAATGTAATTGTACAATTTCTTTAACCAATACACGGCAGCATTTGTTAGGATTTGACAAACTGGTCAAATTCTTCAAATCAGACTTTATGTTCTGAGGTTAAAACCTGTCATAACTGATTCATAGAATATAAGCTTGTTAGAGGACGTTTTTGAAATGTCATTCTGATTTTATGCAGCCAATGTTGTCCACTGGATTAGTCATATAAATCAAGAACTACACATGGTTTTAACTTATCCAAAACATTCAGCTTATCCCACATAGCCTCCAGAAGTTTGTCCAGTAGTTCAAATAAGGTTTTCTTGGAATATATGAACAAAGTCCTGCTTTCAATTCAGATGCATCCTATGCTACTAAGTATCTAAAACTAAATACAGTTCTAGACAGATATCTGGCAACGTCAAGTTGTGTGGTACAATCAGCTGACACCTCTTTCCAGTAAACCCTGTGAAGATGAGTGCTGACTGCAAGGTTATAGTAGAGGTTATCATAAACTCTTCAGAGTCCGTGGCACTCCAACAAGAATTCTGAGCACTAGACTTCAGATGTGGACCAGTCCAGCAACCCTTAAGGTTGTAAGGTCCTCTTACCCTAAAACTACTCAAGAAACTTTGCTGCTGCGATCACAGATGCACAAATAAACAAATTTTAAAGACAGATGATTGACAAAAGGTGTACAGGTATATCGTCAACATGTATTTTTGCATGTCCTTATTAATGACAATTCATATTCCAGTGTGGCATTTTCACAACAAACAGGTACACACTAATCAAAATAGATGATGACAAAAATCAGCCTGCTCAAACCGGATTTTCAAAAAGGCTCTTTAATAAATAGCGGCAAACTGACTGACTTTTAAAACACCTGTAGCTCTTTAGGCAAATGTGTGAAGAGCTATTATGCCATGTTGTTTGCATATCAATATGGTCATCATTTAGATAACAAACAGAAAACATATTACAAATATAAGTCTTCAGGTGAATCGCTTAACAGTTACGAAGGTCCTTTTTGTGGAGAATTGTGACAAACTCAAAGGGAAAAAAAATCTGTTTGAAATGTTTGGACAAAGTATCATTTGATCCCACAATGTGATTTTTTCCTCCCTTTAAACTAAAATGGCTAATTAACAGAAAGCACTGGCCCCCTACACACAAACACTCCACATAATCAAACACAAGGACAGACCGGGAATCCGTGGCGGGGTACAGCACACTCTGGGGCTCACCCCTCCTCCTATAAACGCATTTTCTCTCTACACAGCTACGATGAATGGTGACAGGTGTCCGTTTTACATTATGTAAGTGACGGTCTGTGGAGACTGTGTTGTTGTTCTTCTACAGTCATACTGTCCATGCCTGCTTGTCTGTTCCTTTCCACAATGTTTCCATCTGTGGTTTTCTTCACACTGCTACTGCAGAAACAATATACTAAAAGCCATGATGACACAGCAGCAAGCCACCCAGGGACTCTTCCGCTCACCTGGAAATAAGAAATAATGGAAAGCTCAAAGTTGCATCACAACATTTTCATTGGTATTATGAGACAAATGTCAAAGTTTAAAGAGAAAGAAAAAAAAAAGAAAATTCATAGGAGTACCTATTCTGGCACACTTCCAGAAAATTCCTAGGAGCCTAAAAGATAGAACAATTACAAATATCACAGGGAGGCATAATTTTTGTGTCAATTTATTTTACTGGTTGGTAAAAGTTAATTGTCTTTTTACAGCATTGAAATAAAAAGGCAGAAATGATTGTTATTGTGATATTAAAAGCTAAAAATAGCCTGGATACTGTGTTGATACATCAAAGTACTACTAGTATAGTAACTGCTAGTCAGACCTCTGTTACAGCTTCATAGGATGGCTGTGATCACCTCCCTACAAAACCCATGTGAGGAGTGTGTAGAGTGGAAGGGAAGGGGAGGGGACAGCAGGCGGGTCTTAATTATCTCTGGTGTACAAGTTACATTTTCCACAATTTACTCAAGAACTAATAGGATGATGTGTGGCACCAAATCAACACAAATAATGGCTCATCTTTTAGTAATGAAATCAATCAAGAGGGAAAAACATTAAATCATCCCTCTGTCACTCTCAGTTTCTTGTGTTTGTCTGTAGAGTATGTCCCTCCCTGCTTGAACAATGTGCAATATGAGTGTGTGGTGTACTGTGGGTGAGAATGTGTGTGAGTGTTCCTAATTTTGTGATTCATGTCTTAGAAGTGAATCACAAAATTTGTACATCCAGGAATAATGATGGTCCAATAATAATGAAAATTTAAAGCTTTCTGCAGCTTTACTCGCGTCAACGAGGCGCTGTCTCCTCAGAGGCTAGAGTGAGTTACAAAGTGTGTGATAATTTAAGTTTGGAGGGCTTATATGAATATACTTCATCGTGACAAAGACCAGACTGCTTTATCAGAGGGTATATCTTTTTTGGTAAATACAAGGTTTTCTGCTGCTGAAAGAAACCAAACTGCTCTATTATAGGCTGAAATACAAAAGTAAACCACTAGGAATCAAACGTGAAAATTGAATAAAGTTGGTGGTGAAAGGAGAATAATGTATAACACTTATACAAAACAAATCATTGGTGCATATTGGATCATTATACATTAGCAAGCACTGAATGAAATTAGTGGCCATGAAATTAGAATGCAATCTTTTTCAATGCCCTTAGTCCACCCCTGAGTCTTTGACCATCTCTTCATTCATGTGAGGACAAACAGTAAATTCATTGTGGCACCTCTGTTGCTACACATCTCAAAGACCCCGTTTAGACTTGGTTTTAAAATGCATTCCAGTGACCCAAACAAGTACAGCTGAGGTACATTCACACCTGCCTATATGCATACAAGGTATCCAACAAACCACATGTTCAGATTTCATTACTGCTGCGTCACCTCTGCAAAAGGACAAACCATTGAACAGTTATTAAGTCAATCCGCTGCCAGACAAGTGACAGTCGTCTCCCCAATCAAAGAAGAAGAAAAGTGCCAGATTTGTACATAATAAGTCTATAAAATTCTATCGCATGTTTCTTTCTTTGCTGAGCTGTCCTGCACTGATATCATATTTTCCTGTAATGACCTTGTTGGGTAGACAACAGTGTTTCCACTCCAGCAAGTGGTTTGACTGATTGGATCACAATCCATCTTAGTGGTCCTTTACACTTGCATTTAGCGCCATCCACTTGTGATCTGATTGCTCAAGACGCATTAGGATTTTAAAACCAAAGGTGTAAATGGGGTCATAGTATCTAATTATACCCGGTCTTGTTCTTGTCCAGGAGGCTAGGAGCCAGCGCTCTGATGTAGGCACAGGTACAGATCAAGAGAAGAATCACTGTTAACAGTGACTGGAAGTTGAAAATGGCCGACTGCAAGATGAAAGAGAATGACATAATTAGTACAGACGCAGTCGAGTGCAGCTTACCAGCAATAAGTCGTAAAAACACTAACTATGGTTAATTTTCTGTAACACTGATGTAATGCCTCTTGCAGTGAGGGCTGCTGTTGTGCCAGCTGTTCATTCTGATGCTGTAACCAAGAAATGAGCTGGTTGATTACAACCAGTTAACGTCATGTAATTGTCAAAGATTCAGCAGCAACTTATTATTTTTTTCCACAGACTACTGGTCAAAATTTCCATTTTTAAGTGCAGTGCTATACTAATGTACAAGCCATAACAAACTGTGAGACCACCGTTTGTCACACTTTCTCATAACACATAAAAGTGTATGGATCGGTCATTCTGTCAGTAATTACCCTCCTGCCAGAAGCAAATCCAGACTGTGATTTTTTACACAGTAAATTCATACATTACAATCATTTTTAATTGATATTTATGGAACCTTTGGTATAGGCCTAATAATTTAGCACTTGTGATGTTACACGATCCACCTTCCCTAGGTGTGTTTGTTTTTGCTATGGTTTGTTCAAGATGAAAACAAAACTTGTAAAAACACCTTGTCCGAAATATTTAAGTTTGGTTCTTCGGAGGACAAGTAAATTGCTTACTTATTCACTTACGTTAATGCTTCTGTTTCAATTATTCCCGTTATTATCAAACTTATAAACAAGCTCGGAATGCCAGTCAATATAATACGCAGCTAGTCCCCCGCACACAAATGCATGCTCCCTTAACTATGGTGTAACGTTAGATACGTGGCACACGCCTCAAAACAATGCCATACCCGTATCGTTCGTACTCATTGAAGAGAGAAAACGTTTAGATCTGCGTAATCAAATGACTCGCGTTAACAGTGATACATCGGTGGCAAAATAAACCTAACGTCACAGGGGAGCGATATTTAAAAACAGAAGCATAATGTACTAGACTGGCTAAACTTGTAGCCAATTGTAGCTAGCCAGTGCTAACTTTGCATTTTACTAAACGTCCTGCTTTGGCCCCAATATCAGCAGTACTTCCTATAATAGTATGTAACCGATACAGATCGAGCGTAGACTGCATGCTACAGACGATGCTTAAAAGTCACTGTAAAGGAGCAAGAACGCCTATTTAATAAAACAAGCTTACCATTTTTGTTTTGGAGTCAGAGCCACATCACACTTCCTGCTCTCAGGAACTTACGTACCGTAACCAAAGAGGTTTACGTAACGCATTGACGCTCTGCGTAGCAAAGCGTCCTTTGCTGATTGGTTGAAAACACAAGCGGTGAAGGTTCAATCTTAAGTCAGAACTGTCAACAGCAAGATATCGTAAGTCCATTCAGGGAAATTTTTACATGTGATTTTTTTTTTACTTACACCACGATTAAAGAGAATTTAGTCCAACTGACTGAAGACTGTTGTAATATTTACGTAGCGAGGATTCACGGCATCGAAATACTTTATTCCACCATGGTGCACTGGTGATGAGTAAGCTAGTTAGAAAGCATTTACACTACCCGGAAGTTGTTATAATACCGTATTAATGCAATTTCTGTAGATAATTGTAAAGAAAACTGAACACATGTAACGTTAGCCTGTCATAAAGCATAACATTAACACGCTCAAACACTACTTAAATCGTGTTTTAGGATATTAATTAATTATTACATCAGGTACAAATATCTACAGAGTTCATGTTTACAAGTTTTATAACGTTAGTTAAGGATTTGCTTGAATGCGTTTTTTGGATTTTAGAGGGTTACTTTACCTCTTCACTTTGGACACGACTTGAGATAGGCATTTGTCTCTATTTTTGGCATATTGTAGACTTCACAATTAAGCAATTATAAAAAAAAATATTTAGCTGTAATGTTATAGAATAGTTTGATTGTTGTGCTCTCTTGGTGATGTAAGAGTGAAATTTTTGTGGTCCTTTTTTCTTTTAGAGTTTTCACAATGAAGTCCCCTCCTCCAACCAGCCACAACAGCACCTTGATTACATTTAAACCATGTTTTGTAAATTCCCCTCAAACCTTCCTTCTGAGACACTGCTAAAGAACTCTTCATGTACCCAGAAATCTGTCAGATTGTAAACCACACTTAAATAATGTTTAACATATTTTACAACAGTGTACATGCAAACTTGGTGTAAAAAGAAAGTCCTCGAATAGAGAGTCTGGTCTCTCAGAGCAAGTGTAAAAGTTATATGGCCTCATATTCCACTTAATGTAATGACATGTTATAGCTTACAGTCCACTGACCAGTTAAGGTTACATGCTGGCCTGATTATTGTAATCAAACCCAGGCTTCATGTAGCCTCAGTTTGTGCAGTCTTTTTCTGTTTGTATTAAAGAGAACATCAGGTCAAACCTCTTCCCATAATATTCATATTTTGATGCCAGTAAAATTGTACCCAGCAATGATATATGCTCCCTTTTTGTATTGATTGTAGGGGAGTGATATTACTGGGACTGTGGTCATGTGGTTCTATGCAGTCTTTACCCTAACAAAATATGACTTCTGCAAACTGAAGAATGAAAATTAGGCCCACCAATGTCATGCTGTCACTGACTGTATTGTGTTAGTGTCATTATACTTTTATACCATAATCTTCACTAGATAACTGCCATAGATGTGTGTCTGTAATTTATTCCTATGAGAAAAAGACTTGTTGTGCTGGGTATAAGCAAACTGATTCTGGATTAGCAGTGGTTGGCCTTGTGTAATCATGTGTGTGTGTTGATGTCATTTGTTCTGTATGTTTGAAAGAATAAATCAAACCAAATCAAATCAAATCAAATCAAATAGGTGAATCCATGGTTAGTAAAATGTTTCATGCAATATTATATGGAAGGGCAGAGGCCAGGCAACCAACCCTTGCAGATTCACAACATACTGTATGTTTGTTTAACATTGAAATTAATTATTGGTTCAGTGATTTTAATGTAGAGCTAAAGTTGAGCCGTGGCTCACTGCTGTTTGTTAAGGTAGGTTGCAGATTACTTATTCTTTCCAAAAGTTAGTGGTATACTTTCTATTCTGAAATATGTTGTCGCTGTTAGTAATTTGTATTCCTTGTGTCAATTCAGTGGCATTTAAATTATGGAAATTTATAACTTTTTGTACTGTGCTATATACTGTAGCTTGCATTTTCTAAAAATAAGAACTTCAGTAGCTTGATTTGCAGGACTGTATAACTTCCTCAGCTAAATGATGTTGCCTGCAGTAGCACTTTCAGTTTCTATGTGCATTTTTCACCCAGTGGTTTAGAAGTGTCATCACTGATAGCAGTAGGGTTGCAATTATTGTTTCAGATTAAGTCAACAAAGTATGTCCACTCTAAGTCTAGAGACAAATGCTTTGTTGCCATAGCCTAACCTCATTCCTAACCCCAACTTTTTTTTTCTTTGCTGAAGCCTGCAACGTCAGAGAGGGACAAAATAAATTAAACCGAGAATGTTAATGAAAGTCTTGTTAAGGAATTTGTTGGCTACTGACCTTAATGACTTGGGACTGGATCTAAAATGGAACTGGCTATAAAACCCATCCTTAGAGTTGAACACCTAATCTATTAAGAAGGTTCATTGACAATGATGTGAGACATACTGTAGATCTGTAGCCTTGTTGAAACCCACCTTAAAGGCCTTTGCTAAATTTATTATGACAAAAAATTCAGAAAAGAGTTCATGACAGAGTCTGGCCCTGATCCATTACCATTACATTACTGCTTCCTCTGCAAGCAGCAAGAATAGATGTACTGAATGTGTCTGTGAGTAAATTACAGTATAGTAGCTTTTTGAAACCTGGTCTTCATGTTAAGGTGTGCATCAACATCACTAAATCTGTCTCTAACAAGATCATTGTGTAAGCCAGTTCAGATAGATAATTAGATACCTCCAGGTCTTGGTTTATTGCAGTAGCTACTTGTTATATTTACTCATGCTATTTTTTTTTTCCGCTAAGTGGCTTAAGACAGATATTACCTAGAGAGAATAATAAATAAAAGGCAATGGAACAGTCTGGTGCTGTTTAGGGCAGCACTGCTTTAATGCCTGACTGATCATGATAACAGTGCACTAGCTAAAGAGTTTTTCTTCTCATCTTGAAACCATTGTATTGGAGAAAGCATGAGGCAAAAGTCCAGTGAAAGCACAGTGAGAGGACTGGCCTAATTGTCAGGGTCCATTAAAGAGACAGTTAACTACTGTCACATTTTCTATGTTGTATGAACTCATTTAAGACAAAGATGCATAATTAGAGACTCTCTGTGACTTATTTGCCTAGTGCTTCCTGCACACAGAGTTATGGTTTGTACTTTTCATATGCGGCAGTGCAGGAGAAATGACAATGAAAAGGTTGAGCAAAAAAATTACAGAGAAAGCAAGAAGCGCTGTAGGAGAGCTGATGATCACATTCCAGTGATTGTGTCTTCTGAATAAGTAGCTGAACAGATGCTAACAGGAAGACTTCAGGATTGACTTTGAAGATTTTGTGCGGCTCTTCGTTCCGGACAGCGCTGCTTATGTAATTGGAGTGTCTTTCTGTCATTACCACAGGGTCATCGTCCCTGCACAACAGATGTTACAGTAACTAATGAGTAGCTGGGTTCACTTTATGAGGTTAAAGTTGAGCCCTTCAGCTCCCTCGTCTTGTTCAGCCCCTTTGACCAGCCACACCCCTTCTTGAAGCACAAAGGGTCATCTTTAATTAGTTGCCATGTTCACTGTGCATGTGCACATGTGCATACACTGGTGTGTGTGTGTTTTGAGTAACCTTGACCACCTGGTCTGTCAGCATATTTGATGGGGTTCCAGAAAAGAATTTTAAAAAGTGCTGTCGCGTCATAACTTATAGCAAAGTGTCTGAAGGCGCTCATTTTCATTTTTTTTAAAACATGCCCAGCTTGGGTAACTGGCAATTTAGCTGTCTTTTCCCTCTGTCTTTACACAGTTTGCCCTATATTTAGGCAGGGAACATGTCCACCTCACCTCTCACTCCATGTTGAAGCAGTAATTACATCCTTAATCAAGTAAAACTTTCTCAAGCCTTTTTCAGGAGAAAAACAATGCATAGTTAGTAAATCAGCAGGTCAGCAATCACATGGATCATGTGGTAGTCCTTAGATCAACAATGTTTAACTAATTTGTTGAACATATGCTGTTTCACTGAACTTCAGCTGCAGGAGTGAGTCAGTTAGCCAAGACATACTGTAAGCCTCAGGGCAAGGTGATATTACCAAATAAGATTGCTCCATGCACTCACTGAACATTGTAGTATTGGCAAATCATTATTTAATTTTATTGTATGAAGTAATTCTAAGAGCATGGATCCCACAGGTTTTGATTTGCATATTGTGGTCTGGCATGGCCATGGATGAATTAGTTTGAAGTGTGTTTGGTAGTAATATATGACTGACTGCACTCTCCTGCCCTCACGTCATTCATTACATGTGAACACATGCCTTTCAGGGCTGTCATTGGTCTCAAAATATCATATTTATCCCAAACTTCTCCACTAAAATCTGAATTAGCATTTGTTGAGTAATAAAAAAATAGATTTTTTCCACAGTGTAATGTGTAAACTAAACCCAGGAGATGTGGTTTGGCTGTGTTAGAGCAGTCTCACTTAGAAGAATCCCTATACTGCATATATTTGGATAAATGTACTCACTAAATTAAATCAGACAACAACTGGGCCTTGTTGTTGGTAGTATTCTTGTTAATCTAAAACAGCATGTAATTACCTTGCTGGTGGCCAGGAGGCCACTTTTCAACAGAAAAACCTGCCAAAACCTGTTAATCTCCATGTGGGTCCACTGACCCAGAGAGAGCCCCATTTAAGAAACAAGCATGGACTTTTATTACAAATCCAAGCAATGAAACAATGAGAGACTGATGCAGCTGGAAGATTAACACAACCTTAGGCTTGTTGTTGGAAAAATGAATCACCCTGTTAAGAGTTTCTCGATTCCTGTCTTTGATTTTCTGCAGGTCTGAAGACCATGAGCGCTACAGTCCGACAGATCACTGTAACTACTGATCCAGGCACCCCCTACTTTCTGCGAGTGGACTGGGCTGTAGACCTTGGTGCAGGGTTCACACTAGCTCTCACTGATGGCAGCTCAGCATGGATCGGAGAAGGTAATGATTTCAAAATCATATTAAGGTTCGATGACCATTCAGAACATTTGTATTGTTTACTAGACTGGGTTGTCACCAGGTCTTCCATTCATCAGGCTGTCCAAGCTGTGTAGGCACCTGAACCTCACCTCATGATATTGTAACAGTTGGTCCTTTAACAAGAGGGACAGCAGTGACCTTGTTTCATTGTCCCTCTTCACTCCTGTGCTGCAGATTGCAGGTGTATAAAGTAGATTAACCTCTACAAGGCTTGTCTTTGTATGTGCAAGTCAATGTTCAGTGTGTGTCTGTGGTTACATATGGACATGAGTGCATATGGAAGAACACCTGGAAAATAATCGCTCCCTAGCTTTCTATTGCTGTCCATCTGCAGAGTTGACAGGCAGAGACGGGGTTGTGACAGCTATGTGCAGGCTTCTGGGTCATCAGTGTTTTGGTGTTTGATGTGTTAATTTGGACCCTCAACCGTGCATGAGCAGCTGTGCAACAGTCGATGACGCCCCCCTTGGTTTCTCTGCACGCTTCCCTTCAAATCAGCATTGACATTCATCCATGCATTACTAGATAATTTGTGTTTATAGTTTTGCTTTTCAGTCTGCTGTCAACTCTGGTTACATGCAACCCTATGACTTTAAGATGACCCAAAAATCAGAAACACATATTTAAGAGAAAACATGATGTTTCATCAACACCTTTGTGTTCAGTTTCAGAAGATGAGGTGACAAAAGAAGCCAATGAAATGGGAGTCACAAGGGAAAGATATGTTGAGGATCTTCTTCAAGCACTAACCAGAAGTGGAGGAGGAAGGAGAGGAAGTGACAAGGAGGTGTATTCCTTCCACCTCGCTCCAGATCACTGCCATCTCTCATATCAGAAGCTCTCTAATGACATCTCGGTGAGGAAAAGCATGGGCAGATTTTGATTATGTTCACTCAGTTATCAGTACTGGGAAGGTAAATACATGTGGTATGGTCTAACAAACAAAGCCTTTTCATTTTTAGGTTTTAAAGTAAATAAACTTTAAACTGAGACAGAAGCAGCAGCTTTAAGTTTGTTCAGACAGGCAGCAGCACTGCATGAAAATTTTATTTAACTTATTTTAATGCAACTGCTACACTGGCACAGCTGTAATGCATAAAAAGCTGGGTTGTCTGAAAGAAGTTAAACCTGTGTTTGAAGATTGGTTTTAGAAAGATGTCATTCTACGTAGCTTTATCAGTAGCTCAGCCTTGAATTCCACAGCATCACACAGTCCCCTCCTGTCACTGTCCCCGGGGATAAACACATCTAATGACATACAACAAAATAGAAAGGAAGTCTTATTTTTTACAGGGGGCTATTAAAAAGATAAGATTTATAGTCTTATAACAGGATTAGAAGGGCTTGGTTACCTTCAGGCCAATGTGGAAAAAGCCACAGATAGGAATCGTTCCGTTTGTTACCAGTCATCCAATAACAGATGTATGAGGTGGTTGTCTAATGGCTACAGCTTGTAAACCTTTAGAGAAGGAGGTTTGCTGATTGAAAGTTTGTTAAATTTTAAGGAGGAATGAGCTTGCTTTAATGTTAGCAGTTACTTCCCCACATGAAAGCCCACATTTTGTTAAACTGGTGCTGCAGTCACTGACATAAGCTGAAAATGTTCAGAGCCATGTACTGTATTGTGCACTGTGCCGAGGTGGCGCTTACATAGTTCAGAGTGTGTGACAGGTTTGATGGAGTACAGGACATGAAGCCTTCACAAGATTTTGGTGTTATTCTTCCAAAATGTGAAAGGAAGCTGTTACTTCCATGGGGAGCAGAAGAGACCAGAGGGAGAAGGCCAGAGGGTTAGCAACACTGTAGAGACCATAAAGCCCTGATTTATGGACAGGGCCGTCCCCATCTAACAATGTCAAACAACAATTGATTCTTTCTCTAACTCCCCTTGGCTTTCTTTTCCTCTGTGAGTGTGGGCTGTGTATACAGATGTGCCTGTGTATATGTGTCCATGTCTGGACACGTACAGACACAGACGAGGCTGCCAGGCTATCAGCCTTTGGGTGCCATATTTAACAGGATGGACATTTCTACTCTATATGACTTTCTCATGTAATTGCATCTCACATTTCAAGAACAGGAGGAGTAGACATGTTTGTGGATCCTCTGTCTGTCAGTTTCCAACACATACAGGTCTACTTTTCACTTTTCAAAATGTAGCTCAGTTTAATGCAAAATATAACAAAATACTTGATAAGTGTTATTACTAAGGATATAGTAGGGATACTAATTGGGAAATTGTTGAAGATTTTTTTAAAATGGAATAATAGATGATTGATATTGACAGTTATTTGCATTGGATTCTGATGCTTCATTATTGGAACTCTGTGCTGTGTCAAAAATGCAAAAAAGAACCAACCACAAGAGAGATAAGCCAATAAACAGTAGGTAACATTTGACTTTTGTGTTGTGTAGGTGGAGGCATTTTTGCTTTTTTTGTACGGGGAAAGTTATTGCCAATAGGAACAGCTAGACCACACAAACTGATAGACAGTGGCCCAAATCTATCCAGTCCCATATGTGCTTTAAAAAAAAGTTCACCCTCACATTGTTGCTGTGTGTTGTATGCATGTGTGGTAGACACAAGTCCAAGATTCCTGGGGGACTATTTGCATTAAGTGCAAACTACCACTCTTGTTTAACACCTGTTTCCTTTCCCTTTTTCCTTGCTCTCTGTCATTTGCTATTTTTGAACATGTCAGAGGTTAAACAGTGGAACATATTTTCCCAGCCAGATAATTTGAGGGTGCAGAAATGGCCAGAAATGTGGCAAGTTCCCTTTGGGAATAGAAGGCAGGAGGATAGAGACATGACAGGTGGTGAACTTAACCTGACATTACTATTTATGAATATGACCTCAGACATTATTGTGATGAATGTAAATTTTGTGTCTGTCAATAAAAGAGACCCATTCATCACTCTGTCCTGTTTTACAAAACAAAAATGTTCATTTTATGATGATCTTCAGCTTTTGATTCTCAGTCAGTTGTGAAACTACTCGTTGCTATAGTGACTCAGTTGTGATACTGAAATATCGGGCTACAACTGATGATTACTTTCATTTTTAGTTCATCTGCAAATTATTTTTGATGAGTAGTAGTATCACATTTTCCAGAACCCAGTGTCATGTGTGCATATTGTTTGGTCTGGTGGCCAAAAGCAGCAAATCAGCTAATTTAGGAATTTGAAAGCAGCAAATGTTTGACATTTTGAGTCATAAATTACTTTGGCTAAATGGTCAATCAGCTAATCAGAATAGTGTATTAATTCTCTTTCTTTCAGCCAATCTGTCAAATGACCAATTATTTCAGTACTCCATTGCCTTCATGTAACATAGGGCCTCCCCTGTGTGTTCGTATACTATCAGCTGTATGTTTGTGGCAAAAAGTTTGTGTTTACATATACAGACTAGTGATTTTCAGTTCCCTCAAGTGGAGATAATGATGTTGGTGTGGTTTCAAAAAAAAAAAAAAAAAAATTCAAAATCAGTGATCATCCAAACATCAAAAGTGAAAATTCAGTTGTTGCCAAGTTTTTGTGTCTGAGAAATTGTGGTGCAACTGGAAGCCAGATTTAAATCCTTACCACATGGAAGAAGCTGATCCGCTGACACACCTCTCCTGCTATCATCACCAGCATGCTCCACCTTAGAGCAGTTTTTCATTGAGTTGTATTTGTCTCTCTGGTTGATGTTCAAAATCTTAGTGTGAGCTAATGTCAGTAACATGTTCTGGCCATGCTACAAACATCTCAGAGTCTAGTATTCTTGGCAGATTTGTAAGTGAAATTAAGCATTTTTCCCTGCTATCTGCAGGGGGAGCCTGCTCAGGTCAGGACAGTGCTGTAACATGTCTGCTGTTTATGAGAACATTTGCGTTATCAGGGACGGACTGACTGCTGTCGCCCCTCACTTCCTGCTCTTTATCTGGCCTCACGCCTCTGCACGGCAGCTGAGGGGGCTGACGGGACAAGACTCTCTCTATTGAGTGCCCACACTTGCCATTCTGAGCACTGGTGCCCACCCTTGAACACTATCTCTTTGTCATCATGCACACAGTGCTCACCCACTCACTTCCCTTGTCCATTGGACACAATAGTTATTTTGAGATAGAAAAAAGAAAAAGTGGTTAGACATGGTCGCCATATTTTTATTATGTTTAAACTTGAAGGGCATGAGGGCATCATCCTGGTCTTCCATGACTTTGTAAAAACTGTATTACAGTAAGACTGTAAATGACTGAAATGAACATACTTAACATTTCAGTCTTTAAATTGCAATAATATTTTAGTACAGTAGTAACGATTGTTGTTTATTGACTGAAGGAGTTTATTGTCCTGTCATATTTGGAATAAATGGTGGGTTAGGTGTCCAGCACTATGTTGGACAGTGTGATAAGGAAAGCTTTGTGTCTTCTGCACCCTCTGTGTGTCATTTTTCTCTACACCTACATCCCCCCTTCTCCATGGGTTTGACCTTATGATCTGCTGTGTGTGTCTTGAGACACAGCAGACAAACAGACCACACACACACACACACACACACACACACACACACACACAGACACACTGGACCACATGTTATAATGTTGTGTGGACAAATTCATCCTGAGAAGAAGATTTTATGTTGACATACTTTGCTAAACATGGGTGTAGACGATATCATACAGAGTCGATTTTTTTTTGTCAGGGTGTGCAAGGCCAAGAACTCAACGTCGCATGATGCAGAGATATACAGCAGAAAGTATCACACCTCGTTTTGGAGGTCTCTCTATCCCTTAATATTAACAGCATTGGTGCGTCGACCTTTTTTGAACTGATAAGAACCATTTATGTATTTTAGTGATGTTTTATTGAGTAACACAGTAGAAAATGTGGCAGTAGGTAGTGCATCACTGACAAACAATCTGACCTCCCACATTGTGGTAGAGGCTGGCAACAGTGTGCAGACTGACCTTTAACTTTATCTCTGTCTCAGGAGAGAAGCCAGAGCATGCACACACACGTGCGCGCACACACACACACACACACACACACACAAACAAGAGCTTTGTAGGCCTTCAACAATTAACTCTAATCAGTAAAAAAATTACCTTCTATCACTGATATTTAAAAATTAGCATGCTGCTTGCTTGATTGAACTTTCTGATTTACCTTGTTTAGCACATCCTTCCTCTTTCCATGCTACACTGTAATTTAAAGGTAAACTTCTGGTAATGTGGAATTCACATGTTTACTGCAGTGGATTTTCACAGAAACCCTGTAAGTAAAGACAGCCTTTGGTATTCAAAGGAAGGAGAAGAAGAAATAAACAGCAGCTGAGTAAGTGCCATTCTGAATGTTAATCCGTTAAATAAGGGTTGAGCTTCCAGCACTTTAGATCTCTGTGTCTGGTGTCTTACACTGGTTATACCATGTTAACATGCTGGTCAGGAAAATTTATATTCTTCAACAGTGTCAGTGGATAAAACTTTGATGACAGAGTTTTACTAAGTCCCACTTATTATTATGGCATGAGCCATTACAGCATTCCTTTAAGTGTGGAATATTAGCATACTCTGCATGTTAGGGTCCAAAGCATTTACATTATCCTTTCTCACGTGGCAAATTCATTACATCATTGCTTTTAACTGGAAGTAGCCTACAGCAGAAATGTAGGTACATGTAGCAAAGGTCGAATTGAGGTTTCAAAGCATACTATAGCGTGCAAGTTGATGCATCTTTAGGGTGGACATGATCACTTACACACTAGACTAGTCTAATTGTTTATTATTAATGATGGACTATGGTGCACAAACACTGAACATCTGCATCAACTTGTTTATGACCAATGAAGCTCATTGTCACACAGATTGACTTTAAATCCCTGAGAGGGGTCTGCATTGTATCACTGTGACATCCTGATGTTGCTGTACATTTTTATGAGTTCCTGGGAACATCATCCTCCTTTAAATCCTGGGTGGTCTCCTCTGTGTCCTGATATGTTTTTGTTAAATCACTGATTTTGTTTTTGTTGTGATCAGGGTGGGCATTGGCAGCCTTAGTGCTGAGCAAGCTGTGAATTTACAAGACTTTTAAAGACATGTTTTAGAAAACTTGTGCACATTTTCTTTACAGGACTGTTTAAATGATTTTTCACCAGTTAAGTGGAAAAAATGTATTTGCTGGTGATGCTTGAAGAAAAGTCAACATATCAGAGTTATTAGATTTTAGCTGCTGACATGGTTAAAATAATGCAGGTGTCAAAAAGGATTTGGCATAAGATACATAGTACTAGTGTTTACATTTCTCTTGGTTTTATTAAGTAGTTGTAGTTGCAGAAAAGTCTGTATTGCTAGAGATAAAGTGAGGCAGGGGAGGGAAATGTAGAGAAGAAGAGAGAGAACAAAGTCTGGGGGAAAGATACTACCAAAGAACAGGGGATTGATTGAAACAGGTGAGTAGGGTAAGGTAGTGAAGCTGTGGGAAAGATGTGAAGCGAATATCTGCTCACTGAAACATGTTTAGGTACACCAGCAGAGAAGAAAGCAGCTGTGTGGCCTGCCAGGATAGCATCAACCCAGGACAAAAATCACAAGCATTTTAAGAGAGCTTTTGAAAACTTTGGCCTTATTACAGTGGGTCTGCAATCGCAAGGCAGCCCAGCGAAGATTTAGCACCTTAGTACCTCTATGTGTGTGTGAGTGTGTGTCTTTGAAACGGAGAATCTCTAAGGTAGCATGCAAACAAAGACTGGGCTTCTGTTTGAAAATATGTTTCCTGAGGCAGCTTAGACGAGCAAACACTCCAGGTTGAACAGTGTGACTCTTGGTTCTCTGTATTCAATAATAGTTTTATTTTAGATTTTGCGTATTTACAATTGGAGAGCTACAGTGGAATTTAGAAAAGTTTACACATCAACTAAATGTTAAAAAATTCTTACTTTTGCTGTAGCCAGCTGCAATGCCTCAGCCCTGCTCTGTGCCAAAATACAAACCAAATGAGGAATGTACTATTACATCTGAAGCCTGCTTGTGAAAGAACGAATCAACAGAGAGGAAACTGTGCGCTCACTTGCATAGTTTAACAGCGACCACTGAATTCAGTATTACGTTGACTATTTCTCCCAGACATGTCAACACCTTAGAAAGTCTCACACTTCAGAGGAAATGTGAAGTCATGGTTTGTTGCACCTCTATATTTGTGGAGCTTCTTGAGATGATGGTGACGTGCAAATGGTTACTCATGTTTCAGTATAAGGAGATTTTGGAAACTGCACGAGATGAGTCTATTGGGTTTACTGTATTAATCTATGCATCAGTTTTCTAGCCCTTGACTCATATTAGGATTATAGTGCTAGACGTGTTTTTCCTGGGTGACTTCCCCCAGCTTCTCCAGTAATCCCAGTTTCTCCTGGTGCAGCTAGGAGATGTATTCATCTGTTCTGTTGTCTCCACCCAGTCATACATGATCAGTGGCTGACTACTGAGCTCCTCCCACACTACTGAGCTCCTCAGCTGTTAATCATTGTTGAAGCCAGCCAACCTGCAGAGAAAACTTTATTGCCTTTGACGTTCATGCAGTTTGTAACCCAGTAATCCATTGTTATTTGATCTTGCTCTGTCATTTTCCTTCTTCTTTTCCTACATATCTTTCTCTCCATCCTTCAGCTGCATCTGGGCTCTGTGGAGATCCATCCAGCTCCAGACCCTCTAGAGCTGAACCGAGAGATGATTGGCCACTCCCTAAAGCTCAGCACAGATCTGGAGTCAGAAAATTGCCATCTATTGGAGGAGAATCATAGACTGAAACAGGAGCACCTGCAAATTCGTAGAGAGTAAGGTTGGCCAGGAAAACAGCTCTGCTGGTGGGTTAAAACGTGTGTGTATGAAAGAATATGAAATGGCAGGTTCACATGGAAAATACCCTGCCAGACTCTAATTATTTTTGTTTAGTGCTGGTATTTAGTGCCTTGTTTGCATGCAAGCTCCTTTTGCTGTTTAATTTGTGCTTCCTGGTATGACATCATCACTGGTCACCCATTTGAGAGTACTGAGTGTTCCTCATATGATTTCTGGGAACTGACTTCATATTATTCACATGTATGTCTTTCACCTTATAGACACATGGCATGTGACATCTTTTCAAACAGCATTTTTTTGTGATTGTGTATCTACTTATTTATTTCTTGGCCAATGAATGGAGCATTGCCAGAGACAGAGGAGGAGCGTGACTTACTGTATGTCTGCACAGGGTGGAGGCATCACTACCCTTTCTTTTAGAAAATTACTCCCAGAGCGGAGACAAACACTAATCCTATGCTTTTAAAACACATATTTGTCTATCTGTGTATGTGTGCACAGGTGTACTGATATGAGTCTTATGCTTACATGTATGTTTTTGTACATACAGTACATTTTTGTCCGTGTGGTTTTCTCATTAGGTTGGGGAAACAGGTTCAGGACAAAGAGATGCTGGAGAGAGAGCTATACTCCCGTTTTGTCAAGGTGCTGAATGAGAAGAAGGCCAAAATCAGAGGCCTGCAGGGCGACATACACCAGCTCCAACAGACAGCTAACCAACAGAGAGATGAGGAGCAACGGCACAGGTCAGGACAGCGAATTTACATAGCTTCATCTGATTCTGTGGAGCTCTTGCATAACTGGCTAGTTTTGCTACTTTAAAATGCAGAAACCAGTGAAATGTAGTTTACCTTTTTATAAATGTACATGGTCATTATAAAACTTTGCCTGGTGAAATGCAAACTACTAGTTGTTACTGTTAACTATAGACATGTAGTCAACTGATTTGTCAATTGCACTGGGGGATATTCTCAAGTATTCACAAGGCACAGTGACTAATTTCACCTCATATCATTCCTAACACAAGGGGTTTCCTGAAGAGGAAAAGTCATACTAGTGGACATTATCAATTAATCTGGTGATTATTTTCTCAATAAATCAAATCAAATCATCATTAATTCTCACATATCAGCAGCAGTAACCATCAGAAGCTTAGCATTTTTGTTTGGAATGTGACATATGCAATTAATTAATTATCGAAATAGATAATAAACTGTTGAGCAGCTAATTGTTGCAGCTCTAATATTTTTTTTGTAGGTATACATCTTGTTGTTCGGTAATGCTACTAATCTTATTAAAGTTTTTTTTGGTACTGAAGTGTTTCAGTCGATTAAACTGTAAACAGTCCAGTAAAATTATATTCTCCTTTATGGGCACACTCTTCAATTGAAAGGCACACCAACACTATGTCCTGTATTATGACTGCATGGAATTATGGTCACTGTAGTCCATGAAAATACATAAGTAGTCAACAATATTACATCTTGATTGTTTAAAACTACATTCTCAGGCTTCATGCATCACAGGACTAGTGGGTGTAGCTTGTGCGTTCTCAAAATCACGGATGGTGGCTAATTTGTTCTTTTGCAAACCTTGTTATGTCTTGCATCAATGCAGTTAACTGAGTACAGATGAAAGATTATACTCATGGTCGCTGCTCATATGTCTGGCTTTCCTTCTCTTCCTAGTGGTCAGGAATATAAAAATTGAAATATGATCCCCTAAAGATTTTTCCAGCATAGTAAAATAAGATGTTGTACTGTATATTCAAAATCATATTCACACATTAATTTTTTTTGTCTTCTTTATTTTTTCATGCTTTCCCTCATACACTGATATACAGTATATACATGACACATTTTGATGTTAAATTTGTGTAATTTTCTTCAGTGATGATAACACAGCTCAAGACAGACGAGAGGAAACAGTTCAGAGCTTCCATCCTTCTCTGGAGCCAACAATCCTCATTACAGGTGTGTGTGTGTGTGTGTGTGTGTGTGTGTGTGTGCATGTTCGTGTGCGTGTAAATGTACACGCCATCAGGAGGAAAAGAGCCGAACCAATGCAATAGTCTGTATAGCATGATGAGACCTGGCAGGTAACACCTGCAAATGAGTGCATTTGATTCCTGTGTATTCTTGTCATCACAATTTAAATGTCAGGGATGTTATTCTAATGCTGCATGTTCAAGGGTAAACACAAAGCTACCACATAATCCATGTTTTGGTCAGAGAGCAGAAGATGGGGCTAAGCAGGATAAATGCTTACAGATGTGTTAAGTTTCAGAGTGTCATTTAAAAGAGTTTTGATAGGCTTCTTCTCTTGCTGTAACTAATTTTGCATGGGGGGCATCTTTACATAGAAATTTACTGTTACCATAACACATGAGTTTCTTTTTGGCTAAAGTGTCTTAAGAAGCATAACACACATAAATTGTGCTCCAGTATTCCACACATACTGTAGCACAGTACATTATGCCTACAACATGTTTTGGTGGAGCAGGGTGTGCTGCTATTGAACATGGCAAACTTTCACCAACTCCCAGTACTCCATGTGTTGTCATAGGTCACAATGTGACACGGTAATAATGCAGACTCTTAACTGAAACGCTCAAGTTTTAGCTTTCCTTGAATTGATTTTACTCTTCAATAAACTTGGCAGTTGAATGCAATTCATGATGTAAACAGGCAGTTTGGACATAAACTTAAAAGTAGACACAAGCTGAGAGTATACCCTTGGGTAGCTGGGTTCTGGGAAGCTCTTGTCAGTGATTCAGAAACCCACCCAGCAAAGTCTGCTGTGATTGCTTCAGCTCGGCTGGTCGTGCGGTGATCTTCCCCTACCTGCGTCACATGGAGCAGGAGTGAGGTCACTTCTGCTGAGTCATACCCCCTCTACTACAGCACTGCAATCTGCTGGGATAACTTACTGATTGCTCTCTCAATGGCTGTGTGTATGTTCAGAGCCATACTCAAGCCAGCCTGAGGGGACATTTGCAAAACACACTGATGTTGCAGTGACCTCAGCAGTTTCTGTTGTTCCTCTCATTTTGCACTCTCAGTCTCACACACACGTACGCTCACCATCTCCTCCATGCTCGCTCTCATGTCCTGACTTCAGTGATGATGGATGGAGGTTGCTGATTGCACAGTACTGCACAGTCTTGGCTTGCACACTTTCTTGCAGTCCAGAAGGGTTTTCCAATGCGTTCTTGTGTTTTTTTTTTGTCGTACCTTGTTTAATTTGTCCCCCAGTTGTCTTGATATTCTGTACTTCTTAATCATTATGGGTGACTATCTCAGCGTTTGTGTGTGGGTATGTATGTGTGTGTGCATTGCATTATTTGCACTAATTCTGCTGCCCAACATATCAGTTTCTGGCATTTCTCTCTGGACCAATATATTTAGATTATATTAATGTCTTTGAATGCTACAGTATGCTAATTAATGGCTGACTAATGCATTGTTAGTCCTTCTTGTTTATATTGTGCAGCCTCACCCCAGTAACCTATTAATTTCTTGTAATCTTCACAATGATCTGAGGGCATTAAATATACCAATAAGAGTCACAACTTATGTATTTACAAATTCAGTAAGCAGACAAGTAAGCTTGGCTGAATTTAAGACCTCACTGGCATTTGTTGTGCTAAGTGTGAGTCTCCACCCATTTGGCCATTGCCAAGCTTGACCCAGGTCTTAAAACTGTGTGCACAATACTAGATAGACGTGTTATTTCATTTTGAAGTGTACCCAAACATTACCATTACCCAACATTTACCAACATAGTGGGGTACAATTTTCGTCTTAGATATGCTTGGCCCCAGTTTAGCCTTGGGCTTAGGAGGTGCGTGGGGCAACGTTGTCATATTGCATAGACCTGATAAGAGAGAATAATGACAGTGGGAGACAAAAGAAGAAACGCTCTCTGACCTGTTCCCTCCAGGTTTAGCATTTGATTGTGACAACATAGTCACTCACAATGGGCTGAATGAAGATAAATGAGATAGAGATGCAAGAAGGAGAATAAAAGGAGATGAGAGAGGCAGTGCAGCTTAAGGGAAGCATTAGTACACAGAGAAGGAAAGGAAATGGCAAAGTACTTGTTTTTGACTTCATACAGTTTTTATACATTACACTGTGAATATCTATAGTATTCATTAATTTTATATTTTATCTCTTAATCAGTTCAGCTCAAGTGTTGTATTTTATTGTCTAACAATCAGTCTTTGAATTTGAATAGGCTAGCAGCGGTGTTAAAGGGCAAACAGGTGTGTTTATATGTCTACATGGGCTTGTGTGGAATGCCAGATCTCTATTCCCGATAAAGGTCAAAGGAGTTTAGGTTTGAAGTTGCTCAAAAGATTATCTGAGGCGATATGCTGTGAAAATGTCACCGATCTGCCACAAGTAGCACTGGTAGAGAATCGGTTCAAGCAACGAAGATGAAGAATTTGGAAATGGACAAGATGTCAGCATGCAGGCATTTAGAGGTGTGTGAGGAACTTGCACTCTAACAGTCATAGGTCAGTGTGAAGAAATTTAATTAGTATTTTCTACATTTAATTTATAGTAAACATTAGTGATTTTCAAATAAACTGCTCTAAAAAGGTCAGGTACAATATATTCATGACATCAATAATTAAAGATGGACTGACCCAAAGTAAAAGCTTCATAGTAGTGATATAGTCCCACAGAATCAGTTGTGGTTTTCTGAACAGTTCTTTGTTTGTGTTTATGTGGCTCTGTGTGAGTATGTGTACTGTATATCGCATGCAGGTCGTGATCTGGTGTGCCATGGCATCTCTGTGGACCAAACTTTTTCTGACGACGAAAACGAATAACTGCAAAATGCTTCATACCCCGAGGCCAGAACTCATCACTGGTGTGGCAGACAAACTCACACATGCACACTGCACAAGATTTTCCACTGAGTAGAATCATGTTGCTAGTTATACTTTATGGTACATTTACAGTATTAGGTTAATCACATCTCCCACAGTTGTTGTAGCAACACTTTAAATCTAACAACATCATAACAATGTCCTGAGGCTTGGGTGTTGGCTAGCAAATAAACAACACTGAAAGTCATTGCAGTGTGTATTGTCTCTTAGTGCAGCTAAGCAATGACAGCAATGGCTTTTTAGTTCCAGTGAAAACATGCGGTGTACATTTTATCAGATTTTGTTTTTTGCTCACATGTTTAGTGATAACAGCCTCTTTGTGCTCTCCAGAGCTTCCTCCAGAACTGATGCCAGTGCTGCTAATGACTTGGAGAAATTGGAAGAGAATCTGGAACACCACTATGGAAGCGATTTCTCAAGCGTTTGATTTTGCCCAGCACTCAAATTGGGCCATCGGGCCCCTCAGCCTTGGCTTTGTGTGAGACTGGAGAAAGAGAAACATCTACTGAGGAACAGTGGGCTACACCCAGAAAACAGGGCGTACCTCTGAGGAACTGGAGCTGCTTGTTGCTGCTTATTCCTCCCGTCTTGTTTTCATTATGAAAGTACATCTCTTTTTTCCCCCCACTTTCTAAACTAGCATTTTGCAAAATGTAATTTGACCTTCCCCTGTTTTCTTGTTTACATCTGCCCTTTTATTGTGTAGATGTTCTGTGACCTAAACTACCTGAGGGATGTTCTTCATAAGGTTAATAGGGTTATGTCGTCTTCACCTTCTCACCTCTTTACCTCTGCTACCAGCTTTAGGTCCTGAGGTCATCACAGTGTGAGCCTATGGAGGCCTACTCAGTCTTTATCTGACCATTTTACCTTTGACTTCTGGACCTTCCTGCTGTCGTTTGTGATTTTGATTATATCTGCTGAAGACCACGAGCAGCTGCCATGTTAATCCCGCAACGCACTTGCTGGTTCATTAATCCCCACAGGAATGTCACACTACCTCCTTTACATTTCATCAATAAGGCATTTCACACTGGAAAGTCCAGTTCAGAGACATGGATAATTTACCAATAAGACTACACAGTATCTCAGTCAGCGGTGTGATTCGGAAAAAAGTCTGATAGCATGCTTTAATGCAGAATATAATAAAATATAATAACAAAATAATCTGTTCTGAATAAAATCAGATGATCTTTTTATGTTTGAGAGACACTGTAACTGTTTCATTGTTCAACCAGTTGAAATAAATATGTTAAATTAGATTTTAAATATTGTTTTGTGGAAATTAATTACAAATACATGATAGAACGTACTTGTACTTGTTGCTTAAAAGTATTCATGGGCAATAATGTTAGCTTGACTTAAATAAAGCTTTTATATTGCAGTAGTAGAGAGGAATAGTTTAGTCACTCTGAGATACAAGTGACTTAAACCAAGAAAACCTGTCCCATCTGTAAATTAGACTGATCATTAGATCATTTTGGTTGAAAGCAAAGCTCTGTTGTAGATTTTACATGTAGCAGGTTTTTGTTATTCAGGAAAAGTATAAGACAGCAATGGGGAAAATTAAGAGTTTGTAATGTTTTAAGCTCTGTGTTTATAGTGTACAGTGAAGGTATGGTTTGCTCAGTTTTGTAAATAAACACCAGAAATGTGTTTTTGATATAGTTGTGTAAACAGACCAAGCCTAAATGACTTGCTATTTGTTAGTTTGCTGACTGGCTACTGACATGAGAACAAAGTACTTAAAAATGACAGTCGTTTGTCAATTAAAAAGCATTGATGAGTTTGTGTAAGGCAAATTAAAATGTAACACCTCTGCTCAGCCACTTTGTACACGGTGGACACAACACCACAGCTAAAGGAAAATGCATATAAAGACTTGGTGTATCGACCACACATTCATTTGAGAATATCAAGTACATTGATAAACTATCAAGTATATATCAAGTATATATCAAGTTTTTTTAAAGAGCAAATTTTTTTGTAACCTCTAGTCAAATAAAGGCTAAATGGCACTCCAGGGAGTAATTTGCTTTGCTTTGGGTTGGATTACAGCATTCATCTGAGCTTGAACAATTAGCAAATTCTTTTGTTGGTTAATGTCAAATTTCATCATCTATCCATAGCCTTATGATTCTACTATCTGGTGGAGAACACACCTGTTAAGCATACTGAGATTCAGCTTAATCTATTGCTTTCTTCACATTGGATAGCATATTGGAACATACTGTGAAGCTGCCTTCTAGCATGGGCAGTCTGGATCAATAGGCTGTGCACCAGGTCACGCAGCACAAAGGGTTGATTAAGGCTATTTGGGAGACAGCGATGATGGCTGTGCCAGTCTGAAATTAAACATTCACTCACTAGCTTATCATCATCATTCACTTACTACATGCACCTGTAGGATTTCCATCATCCAGAGAAATGACAAGCGTATTCCTGCTTTCCCGCCACAGTGAGACAGAGTGGCTTTTGTCTGTTGCATGGATGTGGTGTGTTCTCACTGCTCAGTGCCTTACGCTGTAAAGTCTGAAACAATGTAGCCTTAGCCATTTTATTTGCTGAATTTTGTCATCAAACACTCCTTATTAAATAATGGCAACCACCTCCGCTTTTGATCGTTCCACTACAGCCCTCTCGCTATATAGTTCAACCGTATTTTGTGACACTGTAAAATTGCATTGACTTATCAGTAGAACAGTAAACAATTTTTATCCATGTTTTTTTCTATCTCAAAAATATAATAGGTTTTATTGGGCCAGTCATGTCAGACTCCATTAACTGTTGCTACAGGTGTTTTTGCCTAAGGCAGCACACATGGAAGTAGTGGTGCTGGCTTTTTGAAACTGAGGGAATAGTATACTCTATTTCAGGGCAATACAAAACCAGCAGTGTGCCTTCCTTGATCACTTTGAGATAAAGCCTCTGCTCTTTATGTTACTCATGTAAACAGTATGTATGAGACCAAAGAGCTACTCTGTACCAATATGTATAAAAAGCCATATATATTGCAGCCATCTATTGTATATTACAGGTAAAATTTTTCTAGCTGCTTTACCAAGAGACTGAGCCACTGAGTCCTTTTTGCACTGGTCTACATGTGGCAGAGTTTCCACTCAGTTTCTGTCCAGTCATTAAAAAAGCCTTTTGATCGTCACAAGTAATGAGTGGTTTCTCTTTGAAATGCTGGTGTGAACTGGTTGGCCTCATTATTTGAATTAAACCAAATGTTCTGCAGGTTTAAAGAAGATAATAGTTTACTGTGTGATAATGACAACCTGCTGCAGAGTGTGCTCAAGAGAGACTTTCTCCTTTCTCTTTCCTTACAATGTGAAGTGGTTTGTAACTTTATATGTATATATCTACTGTCTGTATAGTTTACTCACGGGTAAAGCTGTTAATTTTTATTGCTTGTATCACCCTTTAAGTTTAATCAGGTTTAGGGCTGACTGTCATTTTTTAACGATAAATTTGCTTATGTCACCATCTTCTTGTTGTTTTCATGCTTCTGCGTGACCAGGTGCTGTTGAGACATGTACAAATGATCTACAGTGACCACTTAGCAATACTAAATGCTGTGAATGTCACCCAAGCATTTTTCATGGATGACCAAAACATATTTTATTTCAGTTTTACCAGAAGGTCCTTTAAGATGATAATTGTGACCAAAGAAGCCCAAATGCCTTTCAGCAGCTGACTTGATGTTCTTTTATGGTTGGCAATGCATTTTTTCTTGGCCTTAGAGCAAAAACTTGATAAGCTGTCCACATTTCCTTCTTTGTGCAGGCCTAATTGCTGGCCTGGCTTAATAACTGACTGTTTCATACACTCATTTCCTTTTTGGCTAAAGTGTATTAAGAAGTATAAATATTCTGGGAATTTTTTCATAGGGAGCCAAGGGATTTTCACAAAGTCAAATTTTAAGTATATTGGCACTAAGTTATTAAGTAAGACTCACCAAAATGTTATTTGAAATATTGTAACCCTGACTCCCAGGGTCATGCAGACATGTGCAGAGCCAAGGGGTTGGCACGGACCACCCCCTGAATCTGGATGGCCATCCCTTCCAGAGTTAAAAAGCTAGTTGGTATTAATGAATAAAAAATAATATACAATGACAAATTGTTGCCTAAAATACAACAAACTTTTTTTTCTTGTTTTTTTTGTATTGTTATACAAAATAAACAATGTGATTCTTTATAATATACAGTTTATTACTTAATAAAACTAGGGTTTCATTCATTTTTTACATGGTTTTCAAATGTGCCACCCCTCTCTGAGTCCGTGCCCCAGCCTGGCCGCCCCAGCCTCTTTCCTTCTTATTCACTTACTGTGTCTTTGTTCCTTTGTGATCCTTTCAGATAAAATTGGTTTGCTAGAAGGTGGCAGATGCAGTGTATAAAGTTCCTGTCTGGTGAACTTGTCCAACAATCATCATTTGAACTTCATTCTTTCACAAAGGCTTTTATGCTGAGGTTTGTTGTGGGTGGTTTAATCATAATCCTGTAATCAATGGGAACATTTTAACCAAAGTTTCACAAAAGTGACATTATGTGTGTTACATTTATAGGATTACAGACCATCCTTGTTGTCTTATGAAGTGCTTCAGCCTCCCCGCGACACCTGTGCTTTGATTTTACATGTCACTTATCAGGTGGTGATTCATGTAGTTTAAAAAGATCTTCCCTGTTACATTTTGTCCTACGGTTAAGGAAGGCCTGCTCTACCTCTTGAGCCACAGTTCTTTTATAAAATGGAGCCTTACTCTAGTTTTGTAGCATTTTCAACACCCCACAACTTAAAAATAAACATGTGCGGACAAACAACGGAGTGGATGAATGAAGAAATAAATTGTAGAGTGGGCTGATGGTGCTCACCAGAGGCACCGATTAGCAGCACTGTGTATCTGTATACTCCTCAGATGAAATAACAGTCCACCAGCTGTCACTGCCATGAGTGACACCCGCCTGTTGACTGACACCTGGTGCCTACATGATTGACACCTGTTACTCCGGACCCCAGACAGTTGTACCATTTGTACAGCTGTCCTCACAATGGCAGTGTGCCACTTTTTCTTTTTTCTTTCAGTTATTTTTGTTGTCTATAAGTTGTAGACATGAATGGCTGTGGCTGGATGGGAAGAAGAGCATGCCAGTATTCTACTGCTGTGGCTGTCTAACTGTGTTAAACATGATGTGTAGTTAATAATTCATATGTCCTGAGATGATTACAGTACACACAGGTATGGAACGACACCTATGGCTTTTTTACAAGGGCTTTTAGGCTTTCAGGGGCAGTCTTCTCTGTCAGAGGCTTATGACTCCAGAGCATGCTCTCAGGTGGATTTAGAAGACAACACCATGAATATGAACAATTAGTCAGCCTCACTAGAGTCAGCAACCAGACCAACACTCAGTTTTGATTCACATGCAGAGCACTATATCTTTCAGAGGCTTTTGTTCATCTCTTTTGCAATGCAGTTCTGCTCCAAAATCACTGTACTGTCTTGTCAAAATAAATAAATAAATAAATTGTACAGATCTATTGCTTTTACTCTGAAAATCTTACAGGGATCACCATATGTACAACAGTCAAACAAGACGTTGATTTGAAAAGATTCCTTTTAAGGTAAATTAAAAGTTATTGGCTGAAAGACGATTCCTTATGCACAACAAGGAACCCATAAAATAGATTAGAAGAAAAGCTGATGCTATGAACGAATAGTGGTTCTGATTTGTCAAGACGAACCGGAAGAGACATCTTATCCAACATTGCTGGGAGTTATAATCATTGCCAGACAACAATTACTACACACACACACACACACTTTACACAGCTAAGCCCTCCTTCCTATCTAGCAGTAGCCAATCACAGTGATTATTAGGAAAGAGTTAATAAAAGTCCGGCCTCTCCCCCATGTGGAAGCCAGAGGTTCCATTTATTCACTCGTAGCTGACTCCCAGACACATAAACCAGGCAGTCACGTGAAAGATAACTCCTTTTCACATGAGGTGATCAATTTATGTAGATGAAAACTGCACTTTTATAAATACATCTTGTGCACCGTAGCTTGTTCGTGTAAGCACACAAAGCGCCACAGTTAAAATTTGCGTCTAAAACAGTAATTTATCCGAAAGGAAGACTTGATGCAGCTTATTGTGGGCATCGCTAAGACTTAGTACTCAGGCGATTCAGTAGGATGTGCGGAAAGAATCCCATCACAATATTGACAGAAATGTGCTGTTGGAACAAACAGCAGATTGTGACTCAAAATCAGCCAGACATGTCCACCCTGTTTCCATCGCGCACCCTTGGATATGACTAGTGCGCTCTGCGATTGGCATCAATGTGAGATTTCATCTCAGCGGTCGATGATTATATCTGATGCTTATAGCAACAAGCGATAATAAAGTTTTTTATTTGGTAGGCTATACTTTGTTTCATACTTGATTATTTTATGCTAATTATGAAAACATCAGATGTGGAGATGCACTGGCTCTAAAATGACATATTAACTGCAAGAAAGATGGATGTCGGAGCAAACCGATCGGATGAGGATGTACCTCTCAGGCACAGGGACGAATTAAGCCTTTCCCCTTCTTCCTAAGGTGTCTCATTCAGTTTCAGATGGGCACTCTGACCCCCACCCCAACACTTACGAAATAAGAGGCAAAACTGAGCTGCTTGCTTGCCAGCACTTCACGATTTTCCTGCGCTCAGCTCAGAACCAGGATCATTCCAGAGTGGGACCCTGAAACTTTGGGACATTAAGGACAAGAGAAAGGTGCAGTGGGGAAATAGGTGCTGTTGCGCCAACTTGGAGTGGACATATCTGGGTAGGCACGCTGGGACTAACTGGATGCAAGGACATATATCGATATATGTACATTTTATGGAATAAAACATTTAACCGTAAGTATTTTTTGTATGTGTGAATTGAGCTTTGAACTGAAATATGAATTGAGGCTATTGCTCCAAACTAGTTGTTTTCTCAGTGTGCAACATATCGAGCTACTATTTGACAAAAAGAACTAAATCTATTTAAGTTAACTTCTCAGTCTACAAATGATTTAAAAGGAATGCACCCAGTGATTCCGTGCTGTCCTTCCACCGGTGTGTCCCGCCACAGAGGGAGGCAAGTGAATTCCCCAAACTAGTGCTGCGAATAGGAGATTACTTCAAATTCATCAAGTTAACAGCTAGTAATTTTAATCAGTACCACATTATGCTGTTCTTTCTGCTCAGCATCCGCAAGCAACAGGTGATGCATGGAGAAAAAGTATTTTACCTCCCAATAGCATATATCTGTGTGTTTTATAGGAGTACTGGCTTCAAAAAGTCTGCAAACAATTACACGCATGTGTGATGCTCACGTATCTTCCTCCAATGACTGAAAACCTGCAATTGCGTGTACTGTAGTTTACGGACATACGTAGTTCCACTACTATTTGTTTTAATAATTTTAAGTATTCAGAAATGGGCTAAATATGCAGTCGTAGACGCAAACTTGTTAAAGATGGACTTGCTTGCTTATTGACTCCTCAAAGTCTAACTTTTATTTAGTTTCCTTTTATAGGGTGATTTCTTTTTACTCGCCAGAGTGCTGGCATTAGTCACAATCACAGACTATACCCACCAACATTTGATTTTTGATTTTTTTGGTCCCAATTGGAATTAGCCTACATAGTGAGTGTCTGTTTTTTTACGGGAAGAAAAAAGGGTTTCAGGTCCCACTTCCACTCATCACTTGTGTTTACACAGTGGGGTGCAAATGCAGGCGGGGCCTTACTGCTCTTGTCTGCCTGTCTCCAAAACTCCATAGTTAGACCCCACAGGAAGTTTTACCTCTCACCCCGCCACCCACAAATTCATTGAAAACATGAGATTGGGTTACTAAATGTTTCTTTATAGCCCCACAATCTGATTTATAACAAGAAGAAATGCAAATATTACACTTATCATGTCAACATATGTCAGAGAGGGAAGTTATTTTAGAAAAAAAATGTCTTGTGAAACTTTATTTGCTATAATGTAAAATTTTAATTTTAATATGTAATATGGTTGGGTATAAAGATTTTAGGCTGTATACTAATGTCGAGATATTTGATATTTTTGCAATGTTTAGGTGAGAAATAGATGCTTACATGACTTATTTTTTTCTTGAATTTATGCATAATAGCAGATTTATTAATTATGACTCAGTAAACAAAAATGAAAGAAAAACACTAAATATAAAGACCTTGTATGAGTTGCTCTCTAATACACATTTTGTATTTTTCCAACAGATGTTACCAAATATAAAACATATCCTGTGGTTGTATTGTCTCTGTGAAGCTGCATCTGCAACAGGTATGTTTTGAATGAGTAAGTTAACCCCCTCACCCTGCTCTCCACCCCCCTCTCTCTCTCCTTTTCTTCGTTTTCCTCCCAAACAAACAAAGTCATTTGACATGTTTAGTTGGAGTCCATACTTTGCAGCAAACAGTGGTACACCCCTGCATTACGGTTTCACTTTCTTCTTAAAACAGCAGACTGTGATAAGCCCCTTTAAGTTTTTGTCCCATAAAACTTGCAAGACTTTAGTAAAAGTTAAAGGTGCCATTGAAGGTTTGCATCTTGGGCCCTCTTGGTCCCCCTGGCTCTCCTGGCCCTCTGTTCTTGGCTATGTATCTGGGTATGGATCGACACCTTTCAATTAGACTATGCTGCCAATCTAGAAATAACATCTGGTTTCACCTCTTATCCTAATAAGGCCCTCTGTTAAAGCACACACACTCATGCCTCGGGGGCTGTCCCACAACTGTTTTCAGAGCATTCCCCACAGTGTTCCCTGTGAACACCTCCCAACCCCCTCCAGAAAAGATAAAAAGTGATTCAGCTTGTTGCCGTTAATTTCTCTCTGGCATCCTGATACCCTCTTTGTTTTTCCACATGCATAAATGGAGTGAGATTGACATCCAGTCACCAGCTGCAAATAAGGACAGAGCTCATGTGGGAAGGGGATTATGCATAGTAACTATTAATCTTGACTGTATGAGAGGGGAGGTACATGTTATTGTTTAGTGTGCAGCATGCTGATGACGTATTTCACTTGTCATCATCAATTAGATCTCCCACAGGTGAAGAAGGGATTGTACAGAACTCAGCATAATATCAAGTGATGCAACCATGACTACATCTTTACAGTAACTTCATACAAACAGGGTGCGCAAACACACACTGTCGGTATGAAATGTGTCCCCACACCCATCATTTTAAGAATGAGGTTTGACTTTCCAAGAGCCATTTCAGGCCATGATGCATGATTTTTTTTTTACTTTGCTGGGTGTAGTTGTCACACCCAGTGAATGTAAATGACTTAGACAGTTTGTAGCACTCCCTTTTATCTGTTATATATATTAGAGATTATACTGTATATAGGCAATGAAATCATATGAAATGAAGCTTCATTAAACCCTTTTGTTTTTGCCTTTTAGCCTCCAGCTCATTATCAATAATCAGACCAGTCACTGGATCACTCTCAGGGAAGGTAAATCTTCCCTGCTTCTTCTCCATTACCCAAAACTCACCACCAGTTGTAACAGTCACAAGTCCCAATGGAACAGCGGTTTATAGCAGAGATTACTTGCGGATCAAATGGACCAAACTTGTGGGAGAAGTAGAATTCACAGTGCTGGTGGCACAAAATGGGGTCATCAAAGTAGGCTCCAGCTACAGGAACCGTGTATCAGTGCCCAGTCACCCTGAGGATGTCGGTGATGCCTCATTGACTGTGGTCAAGCTGCGTGCCAGTGATGCAGGCACTTATCGATGCGAGGTCATATATGGCATTGGAGACACCCAGGATACAGTTAACCTCGATGTCAGTGGTAAGCAATTCATGATGTCATACTGGAATCAGACAAAGGACTCTGCAAGATACTAGATGAATGTAGAAGGGGTTGTTGCAAGGACTTAATAATAGTGAAATGCAATACAAGTGGTGATAGAGATGTAAACATTATGAGAAAACTATAGGCTCCTTTCTGCTTACTTTGATAGCAGCAGCAACCCAGTAGTTACACAGAGTAACCACAGTTTTCAGTTATTCTTATTTTAGAGGCAATGCACTCTTAAAAAGAGTCAGATGACTTTGGGTCTCTGTCACTATACCAAATACTGCAGAGCTTTAATTCCAGTATTCATTCATCAAAACCAATCACCCATTTAAGCTCAAATGTGGATGATGTTCCAGTTGTTGGTATGAGCAAAACAAATGCTACAACAGCTATCTCATGCATTCCTGTCATCTTGGGTGCTACCTTTTCAGAGGAGATTAATCTTTTTTTGGTGGGGCACTCAGTGGGTGTTACCAAGTCTTTTTACTTTGCCTTCACTGAACACAGACAGTATTCCCCAGTATCCCTCATTAACTTTATACAAGGCTTAAAATTATGTAAATGACAATGCAGTATTACTGCAGTACCTCTAAGCCAGATGTTACAGTCATTATGTGCATTCTACTTTTTTCACATGAGATGTATTCTGGAAGATATAACTCATGTTTGGGGACATAAAAACCATGGGTGGAGTGGGGATACTGGGATAGTTTTGGTTTTCACTGGTTGAAATGTAGCACCACCTCTTCCAACTATTCTGCAGTGTTAATTAGAACTATCAATCATATCTAATGTGTCTGTTTACTGTCCACAAACATGGGGATTTCAGGGCCATGGCATCATCTGCAGTTACTGTATTTTGTTAATTTGTGGTGAACTGTAGAGTATTTTGCTTATCCTCCTGGTTGATTGCAAAGTTTTTCCTTTCCAAATACACCGAGAAACCTTGTTATTTCACTCATGGTGTGCCCTGTATAAGACATATGTCAGAATTTATGACACTGACATTTATGTTGATGAATTTCAGATCAATATGTTTTTGCTTTTTTTGAAATGATTTGTCTTCAGGTGTTGTGTTTCACTACCGAGCAAACACTAGCAGGTATACACTGAACTATGACAAGGCTGTCCAAACTTGTCAAAACATTGGAGCCACCATAGCTACCTATGACCAGCTGAAAGCAGCCTATGAGGATGGTTTTGACCAGTGTGATGCTGGCTGGATTGCTGACAAGACAGTGAGGTTAGCTGCATTTTAATTCTCTGCTGTAAAGTTTTCTTTTTTTAAAACCACACTGCAGTTTGGTTGTATGTCCCTCATTATATTTTTCAGTGCTGTAAACTGATGTTGCACACAGGTAAGCGTGATGTGACCTACTGTATGTTTTATGATTCTTTGTTTGTCTGTACAGATACCCAATTACAAAGCCACGGAAGGGCTGTTATGGTGACCTACACACTAAACCTGGTGTCAGGTCATATGGAATCAGGAAACTGACGGAAACCTATGATGTATACTGTTACGTAGACAAACTTGATGGTAAGATAGCCCCATGTTTAAGCGTTGTAGTTCTAAGCAATAAGGTGTCAATGAGAGGCACAGCCCACTGTCTGGCTGAAATAAGGAAACCTCCAAATCACTGCAGTCCAAAGTGAATATGTTTTACAGCTTGTGAGACCACAAATACACTTTATTGTGTTATTTGTATACTTTGTTGAAAGAGTGGAGAAGTTCATGTCTCTAGTTTGCCTTTAAGAGGGAATACATGCCTGTGTGGAACACGTCTCTTAATGCCAATGCTGTTGTAAATCCGTGGGATGATATCAACATGGGATATCTGAAATCCTACACTCAAGACTAACTGAAAACACATAGTCAGTCAGTCGGGCTTCCTTGTAAGTCTTTTTGCTTTCAATTAAGATCTTGACTTTCTGTGGTCTTTCATTTAAGCAAAGGCTAATGTTCATTATTGCCATGGTGCAGTGACCTTTATGAAAGTAATATCTTTACACAAACAACAAGGAAGGAAACACAGAAGGTCTAGATCACTCACCAGGTGTTTGTATGTGTGCGTTTTGGGGGAGCACATGCATGTATTGACAGAGTAGGCGCAATGTCTGCATTGCAATCCTACCTCAGATGAATATAATGAATGAACTTCTGTTGTCCAAAATATGATCAGTGGGAGACAATTTGGGCCTGTGCCCTGCACAGCTGGGACTGTGTCAGCTGTTTATGGGCTGTGTCTTCTTTTAAAAGGTCAAAATGGTGTGAACTTCTGTGTCTTGACATTACTCTGAATTATAGGCTTTTTTAGTAGGGTTTTCAATTTAAATTGTTTAAAATTAAATGTGACATGACTGTCCATCTGTTAGTGAGACAGTAGAGAATAATTTCAAAGTTGATAAAGTTGATAAAATTGGTAAAACAGTGAATTAAACCATGTCTTACTTAGAGTAATCCAGTTTTGTGGCTGTGATCAGTGATAATTTGTTGCCATTTTGCCCTTGACTTGTGCTTCTGCATTAAGCCTTCATTGAATTTTGCCATCTTTATTGCAGGTGAAGTCTTCTATGCTCCTGTGACCCATAAGATGACTTTTGAAGAGGCCAGTGAAGAGTGTAAGAAGACAAATGCTGTCCTGGCATCTCCTGGCCAGCTCCATGCTGCCTGGCGACACGGCCTGGACAAATGTGACTATGGCTGGCTCTCTGATGGCAGCGTACGGCATCCTGTTGCAGTACCCAGAATGCAGTGTGGTGGAGGCCTGCTTGGTGTCAGGACCATGTACCGCTACAGAAACCAGACTGGCTTTCCAGAACCAACCAAGAAGCTTGGAGCATACTGTTTTAAAGGTAATAACTCACTCCTGGGGTGTTGTTACTGTTTACATGATGTCATGGAATAAAGAGTTTCCAGCATATTGTGGGTCATATGGGCTACTGGTTCATATTTTGGCTTACAGTATAAAAGACAGACATTGATTGAAAGTACAGACCATTCTGTTGTCAGAACCAGGTCTGGACTGTAACAGGTTATGATCTCATCTCTAGCATCTGTTCAGTTCTGGTTCACAACCATTTGAGTTCCTGCTATTTTGCACCTCTTTCATTTCCATATACGCACCAGAAGAACATTTTAAAATTTTAAACCTGTCTCATCGTTGTTTTGCTGTCTTCATTTTGTGTTTCTGTGTCTTGCTTTATTATTGCATGGTTTCAATGACAGTAACAACATGATCAAAGCAGAGAGATGATTTACTTATAAAAACTACATGTTATGAGCCAGACTATAATGTGGTGGATTGCTTGTCCCTTTGGCCTCACTGGCTCACATTTAGTTTCCCGTCCATTTCAGTGTCACAAAAAATGGTGGAGGGTGTAATCATAATGGTGAAAACTCTGTTTATTTAAAAGCACTGGACAGACCACTTCTTATTCTAATAGAAGATTAATGACCAATAGTTTGCTTAAGAGTTTGTGAACAATCAGTACCTGTCTGTGTGTTTTTTAATCTTTATTACTTCCAGATGGACTAATCAAGGCATCTTAAACTTTATCCTTATTCAGCTTCACAGTTGATGTGAAACAAATGGTTCATGTACAGTACTTGAGTAATACTCAGATTATATTATCATATCTTTAAAAGGGCAAGTTAACTGTTCTCATGGATTCTTAACAAATCCAAAAGAAACCAAGTAGCCAAGGTGTTGGGGATGTAGAAATTCTTTAATATATAATTTCTGTAAACTTTAATACGCCTTTACATGTGCATGGAAGTGACTTCTTGTTGCAAACCACTGTCATACTGACCATGGGAACAGAAGAATATAGCTATGGATTCCTACAAAAAGAGACACTTCACGGTCCAGTGGACATTAACAGAATTAGGTCAATCCCTCAAAATGTGCTCTTAACAAGTCAGTATCCCCAGGGCAAAACCACATGACTGATGGGAGTTGCTATTAAGAAAAGCAGTAAAAGTAAGTAATACTCCACCTGTCAACCTTTTCAGTCTCACTATCTAACTCACATTTCACCTTTCTCCTCTCATTTCCGCTGTTTGCCTTCCATCATTCTCACTTGTACTTATCAGAGCAGACATTTGGATAAAGGACAAAACTACTGCTGCACTTCTAAATTCAGTCATCCTCGGTGACCTCTGACCTGGTCTTTCCATCTTTACAAATGAGAGGTTAGACAGATAAGCTGGCCCCCTGCCTGGCCATTTACTGCCCCTGAACAGTGCTAACTCTCGTGGTGATAAGTCCCCATGGAGTTCAGAGGGCGCACAAGCAGGCCACCGTCACCCCCCACTCTATTTATTCTATGTCACCTCTCTCACTCATGTTGTATTTATGCTCCCATCTAAGTACTTTTCAAGTACCTTTTTTTGGTGGGATGCATTCCATTATTTCCTGCTTTTCCAGACTCCAAAATATTTGTATGATATTATGTAAACCGTTGTCAGACTACACAGCAAGACAGGAAGAAAGGGGGTAGGTGCAGAGGGCCGAGATAGATAATTTATATAATATAATCATTGATTTGTCTTTGGATTGGCTGAGAAGATACTAAAGGCCTCAGTAACAACTACAATGCAAATGCATTTGTAAATTAATGCACACCCTCTGAGAGCAATCCCTGTTTTTCATGTTAGGGAAAAATGTGTCACACTTTACATCAGAAATAGTTTTATGAAGAAAGAGGCAAGTACGTCATGGCCAACAGCTGGCCATACACAGTTTGTCTGTGCCACTGAGGAAAGAGCACCAAAGCTGTTATGCTGCTTTTTATGGGTGTGAGTGAATGAGCAAGCACAGAGGAGCAGGGAGGAAGAGGCACATGCAGGGAAAACACACATGCATTTACTCATCAATAAAACTGTAAGAATAAGCGGCACAGTTAATTAGAGCATTTGAGGACCATCACTGAGAAATGAGTAGATGAACTCAGGGGCTGCTGTTCACTGCCAGAGTATAACACAAGTGAGCACCAAGATGAACTATGGGAGCAGAGACATTTCATGGGGTACAAAAAAAAAAACTGACAGAATTCTAACAAGACTACAACAGTAGATTCTTGCTGTTTAATTTTGTAATTCTGTTACAATCATTGTGAATCTTTTCAAGTAGATCAGGAAATGCTTAGAGAAACATCCTAAGTGCACATAGTTTTTCACAGGAAACAGAGCACTGAAAATGACCTCATCTGTCTTGAGTTGATGTCAAAATATCTGCTTACAGTAAATCAGACAATTAAATAGATTATTATTGGCCTCACACTTAGGTTTCTAGGAAACGTTCAGCTCTGTTTTCTTCAGCCCTAAGTGTCACACTGTTGTACTGCAGCTGTGGCATGTTGCTCTTTGTTCATAAGGCTTGTCTCATAAGCTACTGTATCTACTTCAGATACATCCATCCATCCATTGTACACCGCTTATACACCCTGGACAGGTCGCCAGTCTATCACAGGGCTGGCACATAGACAAACAACCACACACACTCACTCCTACGGGCAATTTAGAGCCACCAATCAACCTAAGCTGCATGTCTTTGGACTGTTGGGGGGAAGCCAGAGTATGGAGAGAACCGGGTTGGTCGGGCCTCGAACCTGGAACCTTCTTATTACTTCATATACAGACAAGGTTAAAAGATATAAATGTGCAACATTTGATTCAAATGAGGTGACTCACAATTTAACTGTTTTGTTTCAGTTGTTATGAACTCCCCAGCATGATATCTATATGCATAACACTTTGTGAATCCTGGCAGTTTGGCTCACTGATGTGGCAAATATGTCATTCTGGTATCAACCACAATGCCCACTGTAGAAATATATAGATTTAAAGTAGCATCTAAGTCCCAGATTACACTCTATAACAACACTATAACAATTCTGATGTATATTTTTCACAGGTTATATTTTTAGTTTTTGCTCATGTGTGCTTATGTATCTTTTATAGGAAGGAGGAAGGTGATCACCCAGAGTTCCTTTGTGGATGTGTTTTTGGTAGGAACCACTACTGCCACCATAAGCTCCACTACCTCCTTCCCTTTACTGGGGAGTACTACCACCATGCTAACCCCAGTATCTGAAACTGTATCAGAAGCAGAAGAGTCTCCAGACACTGCAGTTCCTATAGATCTTCCGTTTATGTTCTCTACCAGCATGGCTCCACTTCACTTCACTCTAGCAGGTGAAGAAGAGTTAATAACCACAGTTGCACCTGCCATCAAAGGTCCAGAACACCAAAACACAACAAAAAGTACAGACACAGAATTGGTGTCTGAGCCTGTCGGGGAGTCAGATGATCACTCTGTGATTGAGATCAGTACAATCCAACCTGATGTCCCCATTCCAGACCCCTCTGTCAGCACAGAGTCCATGTTTGCTGAGGGGAAGACTGAGGAAGCCATTCTAGACCCTAGGATCATGATAGCAATGGCATCTGACCTCACAGAAACTCCAACAGAATCAACTGAATTGTTCAGCAAAGTTTTCAGCTCACCAGAACCAACATCTTCAACTATTGGGCTTCATTCAACAACGCCACTACCAGACTATGAACCCAGCAATGATGAGATTAAAACGGTGTTTACTGTAGAGGGACAGCCACCCACTGAGCCACCTCAACATGACTTGTCATCCAGCCTCATTGACAGTGAAACCTCAACTGAAGATGTGACATTATCAGTAAGTGTGTTTGATGAGTCCATGAATCAGGTGCCAGAGCACAGCAGTGACGGACTGACAGAGGATGAGACAATAACAGAGATTGGCACAGAGTTCTTTACATCTGCTCCCATGGCTTCATCTGTGGCTGATGTGACCACCACTGCAGGCACTGTCATGCTGGTGCAGAATGTATCAGGTAAGGCAAACCAACAATCTGAAGCTTCATTTGACACATTTTGTATTCAGTGCAAAGGATTCTACCATAAATAGAATTCAGATATCTTTGTGCAAATAGGAAAATGCATGATTTGATATTTTTTGTCCACAAAAAGAGTGATGCCACAGCAAGTGTGTTGCAACAAACATTGTTTCCCAGAATTGCTTTAGGCTGGTTTATAATAATATTATTGTGGTAAACTAGCTGGTGGAGGGTGAGGATGCTTCTGTCCAAGGTGCTGAAGTGGAGTGTGGAGTGTTTGGCTGTTGGATTTATTATTATTAGGTTCTGTGACTCCAAATTACTACAATATTCAGTGATAAATGCAATTTTTTATAAATAAATTATTATTATTATTGCATGTTTTTGGGCAGCACGGTGGTAGAGTGGTTATCACTGTCACCTCACGGCAAGGTTCATGGCCAGGGCTTCCTCCTGCAGTCTAGAAACATGCAGGTTAGGTTAATTGGTGACTCTAAATTGCCCTATGGTGTGAATTTGAGTGTGAGTAGTTGTTTGTCTTTATGTGTGTCAGCCCTGTTATAGACTTGCGACCTATTCAGGGTGGACCCTGCCTCTCTACAGAGTAAGTGATATACTGTAGATAATGGATTGTTGGATGTAAGTTCTTCACCAGTCAAACAAGTTGAAGTCTTTTGTTTTCTAGTTCCCCTGGTTCTCAGTGTTGACTGCTGGCAAGAGACTGCTTACCAGATGTCCTGATAATGACTTTGACATAGCTAAGGGAGAGAAGAGGAGAGAAACAAAAGACTTGGGGAGGCATAATATTTATCTATCTATCTATCTATCTATCTATCTATCTATCTATCTATCTATCTATCTATCTATCTATCTATCTATCTATCTATCTATCTATCTATCTATCTAGTAGGCTCTGCACAGACATCCACCATGTGCAGTGTGGAGTGGGAGTGTGCTGAAAGTTCAGATTTGTTGAACT